CCAAGGATGAAAATGTCTCAAAGACTGCTTTTCGATCTCGTTATGGGCACTATGAATTTCTTGTTATACCATTTGGCCCCTGCTGCCTTTCTGAATTTGATAAGCAAAGTTTTTAAACTGTATTTGAATCAATTTGTTATTGTTTTCATTGATGATATTTTGTTCTACTCCAAGAATGAAGAGGAGCATGCCAACATCTCAGATTAGCACTAAATACTCTTCGAGAGAATAAACTTTATGCTAAATTCTCTAAGTGTGAACTAGCTTCAAGAAGTGATATTTTTGGGGCTCATTGTTAGTAGAGTTGGTATTTCTGTGGATTCTACTAAGATTAAGACAATAATGGATTGGTTGAGGCCGAGCGCTATTATCGAGATTCGTAGTTTCCTTGGATTAACTAGATACAATCGTAGATTTCTTGAAGGTTTCTCTCGCATTGCTGCACATTTCTGAATGTTGGACTAGAAGACTGTTAAGTTCAAATGGTCCGATGCCTATGAGCATGGTTTCTAGAAACTCAAGAATTAGTTGGTGACAACCTCAATTCTCAACATTCCCTCTGATATAGATGGATTTCATATCCACAACGATACTTCACATTAAGGATTGCGGTGTGTTCTAATGTATCCTGGCAAGGTTGTAGCTTATGCCTCAAGACAACTCGAGTTGCATGAAAGGAATTATCCTACCCACTACTTGGAGCTAGTTGTAGTTATCTTTGCACTAAATATTTGGAGGAACTATTTTTATGGAGTTCGTTGTGAAGTCTTCAGTGATGATACATGCTTGAAGCATATTTTCACACAAAAGGAGTTGAACTTGAGCATAGACGATGACTCAAATTGATGAAGGACTATGACTTGGAGATTCAATATCACCTTGGTAAGGCGAGCGTAGTCGCAAATGATTTAAGCAGAAAGTTTTCTATGTATGCAGCTTGGATGGTCACTCAGGAGCAGGAGTTAGCATAGGGGATGGAGCGACTTCAACTCGAAATAGTTCCGATAGGAGCTACTTCTAGCATTTATCAACTATCAGTTCAACCTACACTTGTGAACCCTATTTGTGCCGCTCAGATGATGGATGCAGACTCACCACATCTTAGAGAACAAATAAAGAATGCATCGAAGCCCGAGTATATTATCGAGCGAGATGACACTTTGAGATTTCAGGATCGAATGCATGTTCCAGATTAGGATGAACTTCAACAGGAGATACTCCGTGAGGCATATTCTACCCCATATTCTGCTCATCTGGGAAGTACTAAGATGTATCGGGATTTTAAAAAATTATATTGGTGGCTGGGTATGAAAAACATTATAGTTGAGTTTGTAGCTAAGTGTTTGGCTTGTCAGATGGTTAAGGCGGAATATCAGAGACCTGGTGTTCATTTGCAGCCCCTTCCCATTTCGAAGTGCAAAATGTGAGGAGATTTTCGAGGATTTTGTGGTTGACTTGCCAACATCGAAATAAGGACATGACACTATTTGGGTTGTGATCGATAACTAAGTCAGCCCATTTCCTACCAATCAAGCAGACTTATCCAGTGGATAAATTAGCCAAGATCTACATAGACAACATCGTTCAATTGCATTGAATTCCAACAATTATTGTATTAGATCGAGATGGAAGATTTACTTCAAGGCTATGGAAACAAGTGCAAGAAGCAATGGGCACGAGAATAGACTTCAGTGTTGTTTTTGATTCCTAGACAGATGGAAAATTAGAGCGTACCATTCAAACCTTAGAGACCTCCTGAGAGCTTGCATTTTGGACTTTGGAGGTAGCTGGGAAGACTATATTCCGTTGGTAGAGCTTGCTTATAACAATAGCTTTCAGGCTTGTATCGGCATGACATCATACGAAGCACTTGATGGCAGAAAATGTAGATCCCACTTATGTTGGTTCGAGGTTAGTGAAAGACGAACATTTAGACCACAAATAGTGGATCAAGCTACCGAGAAAGTTCGTCAAATCCGAGATCGACTACGTGCGGCTCAGGATCGTCAGAAGAAGTATTTTGACCCAAAGCATAAGGAAATTGAATTCAAAGTCAGAGATCACATCTTTCTGAAGGTTTGACTTATGCATGGAGCCACGCGATTTGGCCAGACTGGAAAGCTTTAGCCTCAATTTGTTGGTTCTTTCATGGTGATCGAGAAAGTCAGTAAAGTTTCATACCACTTGACTCTTTCTCAAAGGCTTGCGAGAGTACACAATGTTTTTCACATCTATCTACTTCAGATGCATGATGATTCTCTTATTATTCAGTACGAGTCATTGGTGATTCAAAGAGACTCGAGTTATGAAGAAATACCAGATCGTATCTCAGAGTATGAATTTCGACAGCTTTGTCATCAATCAATTCTTTTTGTTAGAGTAATTTGGAAAATAGTCGGAGCGTGAAACATCCTGAAAGATTGAAGAAAATATGATCGCAAAGTACACACAACTGTTCCAGAACTAAGGTATGAATTTCTAAGCCAAATTCTTTTAAGAAGGGTAGTATGTAAGAACATAATTTTTTCTTACCTTTTATACTCTACATGATTTTCTTTCTTTTCTTTTTTTCTCTACTCGCAATCTTTCCTCTGGAATCATAACTTTCCTTTTTCTCTTCTTGCCGCCTTTTCTTATCACCTTCTTGTTTTGACGAGCAATATCTATAAGAGTGGAGGTATGGCCCGACTGATCTCCTCATCTCGCTACCTCTCCTCCTTCCCCTCTCTTGATCTTCTTCCTCCCTCTCTCCCTATCTCGCCTGAAACCATCATTTTTGTGACCGAACTCTTGCGATACACTTGCAGTTTAAGCCAGCGAGGAGGCAACAATAGGAATCGCGACGTACAAGGATCCAAAACTCCCATCTTCTTTCTTATGTTCGCTCCTACCCGCAACCATTGAGGAAGGTAACCTTCAACTTCCTCCCCTTCCACCTGCTCATCCGTCGTGGTTTCTCTAAACCAATGAAATTATCTCCTAATACTGAACTAGGGATTTAAGGCAAAACAAAGGAGAAACGAGAGTTAAGAAGTGTAGGGTTTAAAGCATATTTTTTTAATTAATATTAATTAGGTTGATAATTTCTCCCTTATAAAAATACATAATAGCAATAATAAATTAACAACTATAATAATAGTAATAATGTGCATTTATTAGGTTATACTTAAATAAATTTTATCGCATAATTAATTATATGTCTTTTTCTAAGTAGTGTAGGATACGTAGAAGTGTCACATTGCCACCTCAAGGTAAGTAACTGCTTTTTATTGGAGGATAAACATATTCATCCTAGTTAGGGGCATTATTCCTTATTAATTCTAGTAGAATATCACATCTATTATTTATGTTTTGTCAGCCCCGTCCTTACTACTTCAATTATGATGTTGCACTTGTTATAGACCACTTTATTGTTCATGATGAATTTAATTTATTGTTGCATTTTTTATTTAATCTTGTAGTATGGTGTTTTCTTTTTTTTCACTTGTATAATTTTATGTATGTTATATCACAAGTCTTCATGAAATATTATAACTTTAACTTGTTATACTTGTGGAAACAGTTTGATATTCTTGTGTGTAAATGTGTGTAGGTTGATAGACCCCTTTTGGATTTTGGCTAGTCGAGCTAATGGGCTCACAGAGTGACAACTCTACAGGAAGTTGTCGTGTTTCATTGAGTTATTATTTGGAATTCCTGATTTCAGGGTGTCTGTTAAAACCAAATATATAAATATAAATGAAAACATAATAATAAGAAAATTGATGGAAAATACTTACATGTTTTTATATGGGATGCAAAATTGATATTTACTCCTTTTGTTGGTCTTACAGTATTGCATACACACATAGTGATTTTTCCTTATTATCCATACTATATATCTGATTCGCTTGTCATTTATACTTTAATAGATAACTATTATTTACTGAGTTTGTTAATCTCATTCTTAATTTTTGCATAATAGATTCCATTCAGCCACCAGTGGGACCGTCTCTACAGGAGCCAGTTTTTCAGTTTTTGTTTTCAAGTTTTGAAATTTTCCCTAGTATTTGTTTCAAGCTATTGTATTTTTCTTGGGTCTGGGCAGTTGTTTGATGTTAGCTTTTCTATTTTGATTCAGCTAATTTCTATTTTCAGTTTAGTTGTATCTTTGAACTTTTCAGTATTAATAAAAGTTATATATTCTCTTTTATTTGCAATGATTGTTTTTCTTTAAAAAATAGAAAACTTCAAATCATTTCGTCATGCCCTGCTTTGCCGGAGTGTACCGCCTTCCGGACCCGGTGTGACAAAGTGAACATGTTTTGTTTGTCTTGCTGCATTTGTTTTTTTACTATTTCTTATTCTTTTATTGCCGGGCTAACTTGTTATTTACTTTTCAAAGCCCTTGATGAAAAGAAAACAATACAATCAAATTTGTAACATTTATTTTGCATGCTTTTGCTTACAGGTTAAGGTGTATGATGCTAAACTTACATCTTCTTTATGGGCATGCATATGAATAATGAAATCTTTTATATCCCTGTCCTGTTTTTATTCATATTTATTTCATTTTTCTTAGGAGGATTTCTGCCACCTATTCTTGTACATGGTTGAGAATTTTGATGCTCTTCCTTCTTAGATGTTAGGAATCATTGTACATCTTATGAACTTGAGATCATCTGCTGCATGTCAAATATTCATGTATTCTTACCCTTGCTCAGCAATGTGAGTGGATAATATGATATAAAAAATTGCAGATCCTTTGAGAAATTCGTAATGCTGTAACCAACTCCATTATGGTTTGTTAATATACAAATGTTTTCTGTAATACAAATATGATGTACTTAATTTCTGATACATTTTGCATTTGGAGACTTAATATTTTTTTCGTTTCTTCCTAGACAATAATTATTATGAACTCAAAATATCAATGCTAACAATTCTAGGACATTTATCTAAAACAGGACACTTTCAATTTGTTGCTTTATTGCAAGAATTAACAGTTGTTTTCTTGACAGATCAGAAGGGTGTGTCAAACTTATCAAGTAAAGAGGTAGATTGCTTTTCAAGTCAACAAATGACCTCTTACTTTATAAAGCCAAGTATTTATGGTACCTGAGCCTTTTTGATAGATTCTAGACTGGAAAGAGCAGCCAGCAGTGCAACAGTTGAAGTCTATTCTAACAAAAGAGGTTAGTTACTTCGATGAATGAACTGTTAGCTTTTTATCTTTGTTTTTCATCATATATCACCGGAGCTTTTCTTTTCATTCCTCTAAGCAAACAGTATAAATTAAAAATGCTTATTAGAATTTTTTTCAATTAAATTGACTTGGGCTGTGTTCTAGTTCAGTTTGAAGTCAATAATAAATGAACAAGTTTAAACAAGACACTTCTTTTCTTAACTCGGTTCATTTACAACTCTGCCAATTAGGATTGCAAGCAAAACAATGTATTTGAAGATCAACTTTATACTTATTTAGATAAGCTTCATTTATTTAAGTAATTGAACGAGCTTGAACAATTTCTTAAAAGCATGACATATAAGTGAACAAGCTTGAATATCGTTGTTCAGTTTCATTTATTTTCATGATATGCTCTTTTGCAGTATAGTTAGAAGGTTGCTAAGAATTTGATGAAGTGCTAGTTTAATAATCATTTAATTAATTATTAGATGAATTTATATGTGTTTTATAACAAATTTCTTCTATTATACACACTTAAAAAATTTTGTATCTTAGTTGATATATAAATATGATAAAAATATGCATCATATGTTTGATAGATTAAATATTTTTTATAATACTCGAACTTCACCAAGTGTATTTTTAAATTAAAATCTCATAAATTCATTATGTATAGTAATAAGTATGTATGTTTAAATCATTAGGATCAAAATATACTTAATTAAGCTTGATTAAGTGATAGGTGGAGGGTTGAAATGGTGGCAGCAGCAAAGAGCAAGGGCTGGACAGAAGCGGAAGTGAAGATGGATTGCTAGAATAACAATGGTAGCGAGGAGGAAGATCTGAACAAAGGAAATCTGCAAGAAAACTGCGAAAGGGCTATTGTTCGGCCAAATTTCAGCGTGGAGGGAAGCGTTGCAATGAAGCGAAAGGGACGTGAAAGGGTATAGGGAAGATACAAACCATGTGGAGATCAACTTATAACTGAAGCACTACTTGGAATCTTAGGATACAACCCTTGAAGGGAAGAAGAGATGTCGGCGGCTCTCCCGGTACGAAACACACAAAAAGTAACCTTAAAAGATTACAAAATAAATATATATTAGTAGGATAACTGAGAGTGGTCGAAAAGGACCAACCAACTCCACAACAATAAAAAACCTGGATCGGTTTGGTCTAGGTATGCAGGTGCATACTCACTTGGTCTTAGGAGTTCTGCAATCGTCCGAGCTACAACCATGTTGGTTTTTATGCTGGCACAAGCCCCTTGGTCGCTAGAGTTCCGTGTTTGTCCCAAAGACGTCTTCGTCAGTCTCCTTGGATTGGGGAAGCTTTGACCTTATCCGTCAAATTTTCTATCTTTTCATAATTTTTAGTCGAGTTGGCCACGTTGCAGAGTCAGTAACATATAATCTCTTTGTAAGTCAATTCTATTGGCATTTATATTCTAATGCAATTCCGAATTGAATAAGTATCTATCTTCATTGGTCACAATTAGAACTGAAAGTGCATGTGGATGGATATCCTCACGATCCAAACATCGAGGTCTTAAATCTATAATTTTCTTCTTCCTCTCGTACTTGCAGAGTGTATCGGGTTAAACAACTTACTTGCAATCACTCTAGAGAGACCACGTATTCTCTAGTAAAACATGGGTCCCATTGTAGGATATTTTTCCTCAAAAGATCCTAAGGTGATATCCAACACTGTGGTTCATCCATCCTTACTGATCATCCTTCAGTCGGTACTGTGCTGAATTGATTTTACAGTTCAAATGACTTCTTATAATCTTTCAAAAGGGATATAAAAGATTCTCATCTCCGACATGCTGGACCTCCATCAATTGGGGTAACTCAAGAAGTAGACTATATATCTGAAAAGTTTAAAATTCTCTTATTTTAGATTGCCCAATGTTGGGTAACTGCTTTTCAAACTGCTCTTCAAACTCATGATCATTTTAGACATCCAATACTAGTCCCGCTGATGCTTCTCTCAATGCGTGCAAAAGGGTAGTTCGAGACGCCACAACTTCATATTCTGTATCAACGAAAGCAACCTCAGACTCACTATCTTCTAGAACCACTTTTGTTAATTCAATCGAAGTCTCTCTTGGACTCATCTTGAAGCACTAGTGTCTCGTCCTTGTTGGCTTGGAGTTGATGCTCATTTTTAAAATCTTCATCTTCTTGGATCATTGTTTATTACTTCAATTATTCCCTGATCAGTGGAAGAGTTCATTCTCCCTGTTATGCAATTTGATTTAATATACACAAATTTGTAACACTTGAAACACTTTCTGGATGAAACAGATTTGTGAATGTGGATTGTTTCCACCCGTTCTCTACTCTGAAATAGTATCTCCTCGGGCTGGGTTATGGATGTTCTTCTGAGCATACTCTTGCTGCTTGATCTTGGGATGGAATTCTATCTGTAAGGTATGTCAGTCATCTAGTGATGTTTCCTCTCTACTTTAAAAGTTAGGGTCTGAACATTTGATCGATAATGAACGAGTAGATATTGACTCTACATCTATCATTTCATTTTGGACAAAATAGTGATCTTGTCTTTTTTTCTCACGTTGGCGTATGTGCTTCAAAATTTTTCACCAAAATAACACATTCTTCTTTAACTTGCTAGCAATTACTTTCACCATTCTGTCTAGTGGGATGCCTTAGAACTCCAAGACACATTCCAAGGTTGAGAACCACTCAAGGAAATCATTCAAATCCATATGGCCATAGAAATATGACAAATTCACCTTTACTTCAAAATATTTGCTTCTCCAATATTTCATGCCAAATCTTTGGGTTAGTGGTTTCTCATATCGGAGATCGACTAGAATTTGTGTGACCCCTCTGAATAGTCTTCTTTCGAAGGCGACGAGCTTCTGTTGCTGTTTGAGGGTTTCCCCTTGCATACCTCTTTAGAAATCTCCTAGACACCTCTTTGTGGATTTGTCATAAACGATATCGTGTTTTTCCTTCCGATTAGGCTTCCAACTATTATCTCCTTTGTGGCATGATTAGGATTTAGGTTTGGGTCGGTGGAAGAATGTGTATGGGGTGATGTACGTTGAGAAAGAAAAATTTGGGTGTAGATAGGGTTGTGCATGAGTGGATGCTAGAAATCCTAGGATAGGAGAAGGGTTAGTCTACATGCCAAATGATATTGGAGTTAATCAACAACAAGAAATGCAAATATTTTTACTGAAATCCATTAGGCAAATTATAATCAAAGACATTGAAATCTGAAATTGCAACAAACAACAACATAAACTCAACTAGGGGTAGATTCAGGGGCGGGGGTGGAGGTTGTCAAGGGTTTGGAAAGTGGTGCGGGGTGGAGAAGGTGGTTGGTAAGAAGAGAATAACAAGGTGTCTGTTTCTCCGGTGTCGGACAACAAGTAAACAACAAGGAGATGTGCGAGGGGTTTTCAGGGTGGCGGCAATGAGGAGGAAGGGCTGAAATGGTGGTGATAACAAAGAGGAAGGGCTGGACAGAGGAAACATACAAGAAAATAGCAAAAGGGCTGCTGTTGTGGCGGCCTACAACGAGGAGGGAGGCGTGGTAGCGGAGCAGGAGGAAAGTGAAAGTGTATAGGGAAGATACACACCACTTGGAGACCAAGATACAACTGAAGCTCTATGTGAAACTCTAGGATGTAGCCCTTGAAGGGAAGAAGAGACATTGGCGGCTGGCCCGATACAAAACACAAAAACTAACCCTAAAAAATAAGGAAAAACATTATATAATAATATGATAACTCTAAGTGGCCCAAGAGGATCAACCGACTCCACAACAATGAGAAACCCTGGATCAGTTTGGTCTAGGCATGCAGTCGCATATCCACTTGATCGCTGGATTTCCACGACCATCCCAGAGACACTCGCGTCAGTTGGTATGCAGGCGCAGGCCCGCTTAGTCGCTGGAGTTTCGCGTACGTCTCAGAGATGCCCAAGTCATTAAAACTTTAGTATAACTCAAACTTGATAAGAAAACAATTTAAAAAAAAGCTTGGAGTGGTTTTTAAACTTTAGTCAGGTGAAAGCTCAGCTCAAATTCTATAAAAATAAGTATTAGGGATTGAACAAGGTAGTACTTGGGTCAATTATGTACATTGACAACGTTTTTCTTAATCTAATAAAATCTATATTGATAGCAAGATATTTTTAAGGCAAACAATGCTTATTTATAATATTTTAAAACTTATTATAATATGCAAACACGGTATAATGTCTATGTTTATTTCCTTCAAAGTGATTATTGAACTTGATTTTCCCCAATTGAGATGTTCTTTAAGTTCGTTTCTCACATCAAATTACGTTGATTTTTTTTTTGTTTGCAACTTTGCACTAGTAAGATTGAACATGTACAATTAATTTCATTTCAAGCATTTTTAACCTTTTAGTAATCTAACAAATGATAACTATCACAAAAGCATTCTAATTTCTTAATCCATTTTCAAAATTCCCCAACTTTTTGTTCTTATCGAATGTAGTAATGCAATTTTGATCCCCATGATAGTGTGTTTATATGGAATTATGACCTGGTTTTATTTAAATTGTTTATTTTATTAATATTTTAATTTGCTCAATTATGATGCAACTATTTTTTAATTATCATGATTCTGCAAGCGGATGCTTAGGTAATAATTTTCTCTGATACATCTCAAGAGTTTTGGGTTCACTGCTAAATTCTAAGGATGAGATGCTCAAAGAAGACACAAAAGTTCATAATATGCAATTTCACAACTTTCAATTAAGGCAAATTTGCGAAATGAGCAATCAACAGTTTATTCTTTTCAAACAATAATAGAGAAATCACTAAAATCCAAATATCCATTAGAGATGTAAAAAAAATATATAGAAATTTTGCCAATTAAGATTTTATTATAAAAGGGAAATTAGTATGAATCAGACTTAACAAAACTCAACATGCATGCACCAATCAGAAAGTAATTTAAATCAAAGAACAAGGATATAAATAACGAAGTAGAAGATCCAAACCTATCATTGATTTGTGGACGATTGTCTCCTCGTAGCTGTTGTGATAACACTCAAATGCATGAAGAATCCACAACCAACATCTCACACAAGTTTGAGATGAAATTTGATTTTTTGTTTAAACCTTTCAATAATATTTCATGTCTAGGAAAGGCTCAAAATAAATAGCAAAAGCAAATAAGCATAAATTCCAAATGGATGTCATCCTCAAAAGAAAGTTAATTACTTAATTTATGCCTAGAGTACAGGCAACAAATCAGAAACATGGAATACAATAATTTTGCAGTCCACAACTAGAAGTAACAATGTTCAAAATAGCAATCCCGAAAGACTGAATTCACCCAGAAGTTGCAGCCAACAGAAAAAGGAACCACAGCAGAGAGCATATCACATGCTGAAACAAGCAACTATAAATAGCTGAAATAGGGAATCCAAGAGCTGATTCAAACTCATAATAATTAACATCATTAAAGTAATCCAGGACACTAGAAACTATGACACGAGAACAATTAAAATAATATCATTACACCCGATTTATCTTTCCAATGAATCAAGGACTTGTAGATTTGCATCTCTAATCTTCTTCTCTGTAGATTTTGCAAGCATCTTTGTTAAAAATAGTTTATTATACTACATTTAGTTTGTGCATGCATAACTTTTGAATTTAAACATTTCAAAATTTGGTTTGACTCACATTTGGATACCTTATTCATGTGTAAATTTTTATTTATGCCTAGATATTTCAAGTCCCGTTCACAAAGCTTTCTCATCCAATGCTTCTATATTTCTTTTCTCCGTTAGTCTTGACTATTTTAATTTTCCTCGTTATGTATTTATTTATTTTTACATCGTGCTATCTTGGGTAGAGCCCTTTAATCACCTAACTTTCAGGTCTAATCATTTACGGAAGAAAATATTTGAGTCAATAAATTGTTTTAACCAGCAATCTGTGAATGCTTATAGATTATTGATTCTATTGTTGCAAGCCGAGATGAATTTGGTCCCTGGAGTCTTGATTTTTTCAGAAAAAACCACGGGTCTCCTTCATGGCAAATTGATGGATTAGACAACAGTATGCAGTTCAATGCTACTGCAGTGGATGTAATCATTCTTCTACTGTTATATCTTACGTCACCTTCACAGAAGTTGCGCCAACAAGAATGTAGAGATTGACAATTTTTTTTTCTTTTGAAGGCAATACAAACAGTTTCAAGTGCTCAACTTAAAACTTCCCAAGGTACATCAGAATATGATGCCAGCTCCCATAGTTCCCCATTTAAAGATAAAGGGGTAAAAAATGAATCCGGTAACATTTCTATTTGTTACAAAAATTATCACCTTGTACTCATTATTCATATAGCTGCATTGGCTGAATGTTCTTTTGTTTTAAAATATAATTTGAGCTTGAGCTTCTACAAATGCAGCTGAACACCAACTTCTGGTTTCACCAGCAAAACTAGCTCGAAGGGTATGCCCCAAATTCTTTTTCAATGTATTTGATCCTTCGGTAGTTGTCCTAGCATTTACTTTGTATTGTTATTTGCTATGAATTTCAAATTGCTTGCACATATTTGAAATTCTTTTAGTTTCTTAAGTAGGAGATTCTTATAATTTGTTATCTTGAAGTTTTGTTACATTTTCTCAATAGATGATCTTATTTTGTTTAATCTAGGAACTCTAGTTTTAACAGCTATAATGATTTTTTTATTTGTGGGCAGCAATTAAGGGAGAAGCGAAGAGAAAAGAGAGTGAAAGAACTAATTCAGCTGGATAATGAAACACTGCTTAAACTTGAAAATGCTGCTATTGAGCGCTCTAAATATGTGGACTCCGCAATTCTGGGAAAATACAGTATATGGAGACGAGATAATGATAATGAAAATTCTGATTCAACGGTACGATTAATGCGTGACCAAATGATAATGGCTAAGGTCTATTCTTTTGTTGCCAAATCAAAGAACAATCACAAGCTTTATCTGGAGTTGCTGAATAGGCTGAAGGAAAGCCAACGTGCACTTGGAGAGGCCAATGCTGATGGTGACCTTCCTCATTAGTGAGAACAAGTCTTTTTACTGTACCTTCTGATCAATTAATCCTCTAAATCTTCTTTAGGTATTTATAATTTATTTAACATGCTTCGAACTAATTACTTTAGTGCTCCTGAGAAGATCAAATTAATGGGTCAAGCTTTGTCAAAATCAAGAGAAGTACTGTATGACTGCAGGACAATCACTGAGAGGCTTAGACTGATGCTTCAATCAACAGAGGAGCAGGTTAGAAGTCTGAAGAAACAGAGCACATTTCTTAGCCAATTAGCTGCAAAGACAGTCCCTAATGGGATCCACTGCTTATCTATGCGTCTAACTGTAGCATACCATCTTCTACCTTCAGAGAAAAGAATTTTCCCAAAGAGTGAAAACTTAGAAAATCCTAATTTGTTTCACTATGCTCTCTTTTCTGACAATGTATTGGCTGCATCTGTAGTTGTAAACTCAACTGTCATGAATGCTAAGGTAATAAATTATAGAATTTCCATTTTTAATATGTTATGTACCCTAGTTATAAAGCTTCAATTTGATTAGTAAGTTGCTGAATTACAGGAGGCAGAGAAGCATGTATTTCATCTTGTCACAGATAAGTTGAACTTCGGGGCAATGAAGATGTGGTTTCTATTGAACCCACCTGGAAAGGCAACTATACACGTGGAAAATGTTGATGACTTCAAATGGTTAAACTCATCGTACTGCCCTGTGTTAAGACAGCTTGAATCTGCGGCCATGAGAGAATACTATTTCAGGGCAGACCAACATAGTAGCCTTTCAGCCAGTTCATCTAATTTGAAGTACAGGAACCCTAAATACTTATCAATGCTGAACCATTTAAGATTTTATCTTCCCCAGGTTTATCCGAAGCTGGATAAAATCTTGTTTCTTGATGATGATATTGTTGTCCAAAAGGACTTGACAAAGCTGTGGTCGATTGATCTGAAGGGGAATGTCAATGGTGCAGTGGAGACATGCGGTCAAAGTTTCCATAGGTTTGACAAGTATCTTAATTTCTCAAATCCACATATTGCGAGGAATTTCGATCCCAATGCATGTGGTTGGGCCTATGGAATGAATATATTTGATCTCAAGGAGTGGAAAAAGAGAGACATTACTGGGATATACCACAAGTGGCAAAACATGGTTGGTACAAGTAAATGCTTTGCTTATTATTTATACTCCTCTCTCTCTCTCTCACACACACACATCCACACACTCAGACTCTGTTTGGGGCAGCTGCAACTGTGCTGCCCCAAAAAGCTGCTGCGGCGAAACAGCTGTGGGGAAGCTGGCTGTCTGTTTGGTGCAGCTCTGTGAAATCAGCTGGCGGGCGGCTGTTTATGGAAAAAAGTCCATATTGCCCTGAAGCTGGCTGTCTGTTTGGTGCAGCTGTGTGAAATCAGCTGGCGGGCGACTGTTTATGGAAAAAAGTCCATATTGCCCTTGTTTGGTTAAACTGTTTAAAAGAAGAGTATAACAATCATATTTTTTAAACTTCAGTAAGACCCCAAAGTGCTAACAGCTTCTGTTTAGAAATAAGAATACATATGCAACACAATCTTATGTATTTACATATCTAACACATAAACTTTGAAGTGATTGTCCTGTTTAGCTGTGAAATAATTCTTGCTTCAGCATCCACTGTGTGCGGCGAGACCAAAGAACCGTTGCAGCAAATACCGCTTTCGGGAACGGTGGGAGGCTTCACGGGAGCAGCAGCGTGTTAGGGCAAAAAAATCCCTCCGCGCGGTCTCTGGAACATTAGGGTGCTGCGGCTCGAGCGGGGGCAACAGGGGAAATAATAATCGTGAACGCGGGGCCGCGGGGTCAATTCTGCAGCCCGCGTTCGGCATACTTTAGCGAGGACGGACGGCAAAGCTGCGCGAAAGTTTAAAAAAAAAGGAGCATTGTGGTTTTGGGGCCGCGCCGCTCGAAAAAAGCGGCCCCAAACGTACCCTCAGTGATTATGTAAACATTAGTAACCATTTATTATGTAAAGTCCTATTTTAGTTACTCCGGGAAGAATAAACAAATAGTCGGAAAAGGAAACAAGGAAAGCCGAAGAAGTGGAAGTTAGGGGTCAGGAAACCAAATAGAGAGGGAGAGGAAGTGAGGGGCCAAGAAACCAAATCGAGAGGGGGATGGGAACGCAAGAGATGAATTCACTCTATAAATCATCATAGTGGACTTACCTACGTCGTTGTGTGACTCTGGCATGGAGAGGGGGATCAAGCCGTTAGGGCATAAGTGAGTGCGCTTGCAAAGCCGAGAAGATTGCAAGGCAGGGTTTTCTACATGCATACTATTTTGTTGATGAAGTTGGTGTGCTCGACAGAGAAAAGATTGGGTGAGCTGTGTTCAAATCGAGCGTGGACGATATAACTAACAGAAGATGAAGGATAGACACGAGTATCCTGTGAGAAGGAAGAAGATTAGGTTGAACCAAGCAGGTTGCGAGAAGGAGACTACTGCGAAAAGGAGCAGGCTGAATTGTGTGAGGGGAAGAACTTTTTCGTTCTTGCGGTGTAGGGCTCGACCGAGGTTTTGTTTATTAATTTATTTTAATATTAAAACTTAATAATAATAATATTAATAATATTATTATATATTTTATTTTTTAAAAGGAAATGAAGGGGTTTTTGGGCAGGGGCCAAAATCCCGATTTCCCATGCGCTATGCCCCATGATGAGAGCCCGCACCATTTTCCTAAATATTCGAGAACTCAGAGCCACTGGGGATCGAACCCGTCACCTGAGGGGACTTACATTGAACTAATAAAATTATCTCTTGCGCGTTATATATATATATATATATATATATATATATATATATTGAATAGAAAATTAAGCAACATTACATAAAGTAAGTTTAATACTTGAATAATGAAAAGCTAATAGTTTATTAAAATAATAAATTAATATAATTTTATACCATAATAGGCTTTAAATTTTAGAAGAGTCTACGCCCATGCAAACTGAATTTCAAATTAATCGACATTGATGTAAATTTAATTACATTGCTTTAATTTAATTTAATTAGTGACTTTCATTTGTTAATAGTGATAGAAAATAAATATGTGAAGGTCTAATTCTCACCGTCTGATTGTCTGTTCCCGTCTTGGTTAATTCCAAGTTCTGGGCCGAGTCGTGACATATTAAATGTGCTCTAATGTTTGTTTTGCATTTTTAAGAATAAATGTTATTTTTATTGCTCAAATTTAAGGCACTAGCTGCACTTATGATGCTTCAACCCTTTATAATATCAAAGTATGCAGTGACTGACACGTATAGGACACGACACATCTGTGCGTGTGTGCGTCTCAGTCTTTGTTTGTCTGTGTGTGTGTGTGTCTATATATATATGTAATGGTCATGTTTAACTTAGCATGCATTTGGATTATATATACATAATTAGCACATTTATAAGTGTATTTGTGTTTTTGATTTGCATTTAAGTCAGACATTGTTTTAAAAATTGGATCAAACCAGCTGGTTTGACTGGTTCAACCCTGAATACAAATTGATCCATTTCCGCAACTATGCCTCTAGAAAAAATTGGCCAGAATTGGAGTTGATCCGGGGGGATCAAAACCTTGGTCATAGAATTGGCCGGTTTTAATGCTGATCAATTTTCAATTTTTGATTTTGAATGGATGACTGAAATAAAATGTTTAAAATTTTAAAAAAAAAATGTCATGCTCTAAAATGATGATTTAGAAATATATTGAAAATATTTAAGAGTGAAGTATAATAAATTAGAATATTGTATATTGAATTAGTAAAAAAATTATTATGGCATCATTGTTATATAATCTAAATTATATTATAATGATTTCAATAATTATCACATCATGTGTTTCAATCTTGGTTAGATTATTTAATCTTGAACACCTCCAGTTTGTTTTTCACAATAGTGGTCATTGAGGTGATTTTTTTTCTTTTTTTTTTTTTGGCACAAACTTAAGCCTCTATCTGCTAGTTATAATATATAGGCATTTCATAATATCTAAGTATGTGGAATCAGACACGTGGAGAATGACACCTTCAATAATGGTGTCTGATTAAAAAATAAAAAATAAAAAAAAATACATACTACACATATTTGACACACACGGTGATTTAAATGGATTAAGGATAATGTAAATGGTGGATTATGCAATAGCTGAAGATTAATAAGATGCTTTTAATTTTGAAAGAGACAATTTAATTAGCCTTTTAATGATTAGCTTGTGAATACAATGTGTGTGTGAATACCATGCGTGTGCACACACTTATATATATTCTAGAACAACAATTGTCTAGGGTAGGAATTCACTTGTATATCTTTCCTCATACTTCGGTTAAATTTTTAAGTTCTTTGTTCCATTCATTCCCTTATCATTGAATCCTTTAGGACATCTCCAACATTTTTGATGATAGGAAATAAGTACACCTATGCCGACCTAAGAAACTTGCAGGAGTATCAAGGCACCCCACTTATTAGCTGCTGCCTGCTAACATGGTTTGACTTGTTTGAATACTCCTTCAACTTTTCTATGGTGCTTATTTGAGTATAAACTGATAATTATAACCATTAACATGTTCTTCAAATAGCCATATGTTTTCTCTGGTCGAAAGTCATTAATGTTTGCTCATCTTCACCACAGCCAACACATTATGAATTGCTTTAGATATTCATTCTCACGTAATGAAGAATGCTCTTTCTATTCTGGTATTGATTAGTTTTCCTTTCCAACAACAGAACGAGGAGAGAGTACTGTGGAAACTTGGGACACTCCCACCCGGACTCCTGACCTTCTACAAGCTGACATATCCGCTGGACAAGTCATGGCACGTGCTTGGCTTGGGCTACAACCCTAGTATTGATCGGTCTGAGATAGAAAATGCTGCTGTAATCCATTATAATGGTAACATGAAGCCTTGGCTAGAGCTGGCAATGAACAAATACAGGCATTTTTGGTCTAAATACATCAAATATGACCACCCTCACATCCGGAGCTGCAGCTTCAGGCAATAGGCACAAGTGCTCCAGTAAGTGTCTTTCTGCACTTTACTACTTTCCACCAATAGCTTATTATCGCAGTTGTCAGAATAGCTGAGCTTCAGAAATGTTCATAATTAGTTTTCTGTGGGGGCAGGAGGTTCTTGTAATCTGGAAATATTCATCTTTGACGAAAATTTTCTGTAAAGGACGTTAGTGAGTCAAATGGATTCTAAAGAGAGCACTTAGATTGGTTTCGTATGCTAGATTTTGTCATTGAATTTTCATGATATCTGAATTGTTTTGGTGCTGATTTGCTTAGGATCGTAACTGTTCTTAGTGTGTTGAACAATAGAAAGCAGACCTAATTGAAACCTTGCTTTTCCTTTGGTAGGATGTCTAAAATAATGGTAAAAAAATTAGCTCTTCGAAAATTTATGACTTATTAGTTTATCCTTAGTAAACTTGCAATAAATGTCTGGGAAATTGGACATTAAATGCTGATAATATTACACTTAAATGGCCAAATAATGCCATTTTTAATTCTTTTAGATAAATATATTTGAAAATTTCTTTGGAATCAAATTACCTCGTTTGTATTTGTGTACTCCTTAAGGTAACTGGCTCGAATTAAAATCTTAGTTCAAGCCAACATTTAGATGTGGCTCTAAACTTCGTACGAACTTGATTTGAAAGTGGTTTAAACCAGCTCAAAATGTGATTAAGAGTCAAATACTGTTTAAGAAGGCTTCTATCCTATTCCAATAACGTTGGAATATGGTTTGAATAAGCCTAAACGAGGTATTAATAAGGCTTAATCAGCTCAAGTACTGTTCAAACAATGATTGATTAATGTTATTAAATTTCTTAAATTCATCTTATAAAAATAGAATTATGGAAGATATTTACAAAACATCCTGTATCAATGAGGATACTACTAATTTAGATTTTAGTGATTAGAGCCATAAGCACAATTGCATCATTCTAGGGTTTCTCTTTATAATTATGTCTTACCTTATGAAAAAAATAGGTAACTGATGTGCGATTTATTGCTGAGAAAATTCCAGCATGCAATGCTCTTCTGAGTAATGTCTCTTCAAGCTAGTTTGTCAAGACGCTTCAACTTCATCTCCATTAATAATTTTCAATAAAATCCTATTATATGAATAGGTTGAGCATGAGCATATTTTTTGTGATCTTCCTATGCCAGAGTTTTTCCTTTTCTCCGAGTTATTGCTCCAATTGCTATAAATTCCTTCAATTTTCTAGCTTAATCAGCTACTCAATTAAGTTGTAGAAGTGACAAAACTCCTCTCTATCGTACCCATGATACTGGTGATAAGCGCAGTGCCCCTTCGGGTCATGGATGAATCCTCCAAACTTTATAGGTGTGGGTTTTCAGAAATTCTGTTTGTTTTGGATAACCTCCACAACTTCAACCATCAAAACACTTAATGATTTCTGTTGGGGAATCTCATGGGTCTGTGGTGTAGGTCTCTCCAAGTAGTGCTTTATCTACCTCTCTTGGTATCAGGTTCATCCTTCCAAGTGACGGGCTCTCTATCCTATACATTGGCCCACTCTTAAATTGGGTGAGGTCAATTCTCCTTAAATCTTGGCTTTGTTGCTGGTCACTCGATGATGTCTTTTATTAGAACTTATGAAAGTTCCTCTTCAGAGGATGCATGTCTATGTGTTCTATTTGTAATGGGATTGATGGTGAGTTATATGCTTCTACTGATATATGATTATTAGCAAGTTATAATAACCCGGCTAATGTCTTTGGGCGCTATAAAGCAAGCATATAATGAAATGTGCTTTCTCTCAACCTTGAGCTAGGGTAGCATGGATGATTGTGGGTTATATATCATGTACTTCTAATATCTCCTTCTGAAAGTGGCTCACAAAAACTCATTGGGTTTTCCCATGCTCTTAGCAAAGTTGCAACAATGCCTGCAAACCCTTGTAATATTTTTGGGCATTGGCAAATTATGCCATGAATTTTCTCTTAAATTTTACAAAGGAGACAATCATTCCAAGTGGCATTCTATTAAATCATCAAATATCACACTCCTTTACAGTCATGAATAGGAGTTGACATTTCAACTTATCATTTGCCCTAACAAGCACATTGTGGAATTGAATGAGAAAAGGTTCGACTTCCCTCAGGAATCCATGGAGGAGATCTTGAAGCATACGAGTGCTTCCACTTTGGGTATCTCCGTATAGAAGGCATTCTTTGGTTTACTTTGTCATGGATTTTTGGCACATCTTTGTCTACTTTGGCCAGATGGTGCAAAAAATGAGTTATTGTGATAGTATGAATTAGTTTCATCTATTGGTCTTCACAAAGGAATTCTTCTAGCCCTGATGTTGATTTCATCTCTCTAATATGATGTGATTGCTGATTGAGACAGTGATGCTATTGTTTGAGTGAGAGTTTCTCTTACCATCACCATCATTTGCTCTTTGAGTTATTTGATTTTCATAGTGATAACTTCTCTATGGTTGGGCTCTTCTTTTTGTATGGCTCCTCTTCTAATTCTAATTTGTGGCCCGATCCACACTCATCAGATGTTTTTAGGGCATTAAATATCTTTTTATTCTTCAATTACGCTCAAGGAATAGATGTAGTTCGTAATGAAACATCGGCCTTTTAGAGACGTCTAGTTGTCTCACCAACCACATCATCATTAAAGTCAAGATCTTCATGAAGATTTCCTTTTTAATATTAATTGGCTATCTAAAAAATAAATAGTAATATCCGCTCTTGGTGATCTCACCTTCAATGTCTGCGTTCAACCGTTTATCTTTGATCATTCATATTTATCCACATGTCCATTTGACCATCCATACCCAACCACTCATAGTCGACCATTTGCACTCAACCACTCGTACTCAATTGATCTTTGTCTCTGAGTGTCTAGTTTGCTTGGCCGGCTTTCCTCATCATCCTCTTCTATTCTTGTTTTCTTATTAGCCTAGACCAAGCAAAGAACCCTTTTAAGTGAGTTTTGGTTCATTTTGTTTGTGCTGCTTCATTTGTTTTTACTCTACATGTGAGTTATAAAAATGTTAAGTTTATCAGTTTATGCATGTGAGAGAGGACATAATACTAGAAGAGAAAAAATACGAAAGGATTAAGCCGTTGCTTGCATCAAAGAATGAGGACCGATATTCATTTCATATTTTATCCCATTCCTATATAAGGGTAATTTCTTATTAAAATTTTATGTAGTTCGTAATGAAACATCGGCCTTTTAGAGACGTCTAGTTGTCTCACCAACCACATCATCATTAAAGTCAAGATCTTCATGAAGATTTCCTTTTTAATATTAATTGGCTATCTAAAAAATAAATAGTAATATCCGCTCTTGGTGATCTCACCTTCAATGTCTGCGTTCAACCGTTTATCTTTGATCATTCATATTTATCCACATGTCCATTTGACCATCCATACCCAACCACTCATAGTCGACCATTTGCACTCAACCACTCGTACTCAATTGATCTTTGTCTCTGAGTGTCTAGTTTGCTTGGCCGGCTTTCCTCATCATCCTCTTCTATTCTTGTTTTCTTATTAGCCTAGACCAAGCAAAGAACCCTTTTAAGTGAGTTTTGGTTCATTTTGTTTGTGCTGCTTCATTTGTTTTTACTCTACATGTGAGTTATAAAAATGTTAAGTTTATCAGTTTATGCATGGTGATTCCTCATCTTGATTCAACAAAAATTCTTCTAAAGATTTAAATAAATGATTGTGGACTATCTTATACATCGCTTAAAAAAATGCAATAGGAGTAAAATGTAGATAATATCCGTTATGGAGAACTTGATTAATTTTTTGATATCATTAGACCATAAACTCTAGATTATGTCAAGGATAGAATATAAAAAAAAGTGTCCCATTGCTAAGGAGACAAAGCTGAAAATGATTATGAGGTTGTTGTACTCATATGATGGGGTTAAACAATCTAATTTTTTTTTTATTTTACAAATAATTACGATCTAGCTTGTGAACATCTTTCATTAAATATAATTAAAGAAAGTCTAGAAATGATTAAGAATATTTATTTTAATGTTTAAAGATGTTTTACGGAGTCTGTAGCAAAATGGTGAGGGCTTTATAAGGGTATAGTATTATGAATAAAAAGGTAAGTCCATTAAGAAATGTTAGCCTCATTTTAAAGATTAGTTTGATGAAAGAACTTTTGATAAGATAAATGGTTGAAAATACTCGTGCACAGTTAACTTTGGATGTGTAACTATGAGATTAAGTAGTTGAGCATATTTGGCAGAGTTTAAATTAGTGTTTAGAGTTAGAAAATGAGACTTGATCCTAATTTTCCTTGATTTAACAAAACAATTAGTGGTGAAATTCTAGAATTATTGTGTGGCTGTGGTTTGGTGTTGGCTTGTCTTAAATGAATCTTAAGAAGTTGAAACAATTTTGGATAAGTGTTTAAGGATAAAAAATTTAAACATAAAATAATAAGATGGTAAATTCTCTCACCAGAGAAAGACACCCTTGAAGCCACCTTGTTATGAAAAAAAAAAAAAAGGAAAGAGCTATTCTTCAACCATGTCATTTTAGCATTTATTTATAACTAACACATGCCCTAGGACATTGCTTGTTTTAAATAGAAAAGGAGAATTTTGTAGGAAAAATGTTGGATTGACCTTTAAAGAATAGAAAAATTCTAACCTTAGGTTATTAACTGATTTTCCAATCAAACATGCATTTTTTAATGACAAGTCATACATGGGTCAAACAAAGGGTGCTTTTGTTGATTGCTTGGTCTTCAAAATGGGCTCGTGCACTTGCTTAGTTATTTTCTTTTGTATTTAAACTTCTAGAATGATCTTTTCATGTAGAAGAGAAAACCCATTCAACCTTAGAATTTGCATCCAATATTCTAAAAATTTCAAATGATTCTCTTTTATGATTATTATTGATAAAGAGAACCTTAACTTGCACTATATAAATCATGGCTTCTACAATGGGGTTGTTTGAAGATATTCTTAAATCTTGGAGAATCAATTGGAGGTTTAAG